ATCCATCCATCCATCCATCCATCCATCCATCCATCCATCATTACTATCCCTTCTTTCTGGTACATCCTTATATTATTCCCACAATGCGATTAGCTGCCTTGAGTGCCACTATTGATAGAAAGTTTGAGGTATACATTAAAGAAGTGCTGTAGCTCCACTGTACAGATGGAGAACTATGGCAGAAAGACATATGGGCCTCATCATACCACATCTCAAATTACAACTGTGTGTTATATGAATAAATCTCTTTGGTGGCTGGAGGGAGGCAGTTAATGCAGCACAAATACCCTTTTTTAGTTGGACATATATGGATCAGCTTCCATGCTGTAATTATGGCATCATGGAAGAATTGTTGTCATGGGACTATGTTCCTTGATTCGAGAAAATTTCTTGAATGGATTCTCATTATTGATTCTTAAAAGCTATGATAGATAGTATTGCTTTCAATTCAACAGTGATTATCTTATAGATGCAGACCCTATTTTTATGCAGATCTACAGCATGTCAAAATCAGCTTTGTTTTCTGAATAAGATTTGTTTGTTATAAAAGGGGCAAAACAAATTTTAAAAAATCAAGGAAAATTTACATGCATATCCCATTACTTTATATAGTGTTCACATGGTTAGGACTACATGCAGTGTATAGCTAAATCTAGCTATGAACGTATGTGTGTTAAATTAAGTGCCAGTTTACATTAACAGTAGAAAACAGTCCCTCCCTGATGTTCCTATTCCTCTCTCCTTTTCACTCTTGTCTTTCTTTTTTTGTAGTAAACCAGTCAAAACAAGCAACAGAAGGAAATTAGTGTCTATTATAACAAAAATTATCACTTGGCTTCCTGCTGTCAAATCATTACCATTGGATTATAAGATATTGCTTTGATTTATTAGGATTTTCAGTTCTTATTGTAATTAACTGGCATACCTTTGCAAAGACCTGTATATGCAATAGAATAACCACTGGAATATTTCAGTTTTTTCTTCAGATATCATAAAATATTGATCTATTTTATTGATCTAAGATTTTTTACATACCTTATTCTTTGGAGAATAATATGTCTATCCACTGACTAAAGTATATGCTTCATTCTGATAGGAGGTTGAGACATATTTTCATGAAGGACTGGAGAAATGGAGAGAGCTGAATCTGACACGGCATTTTGGTACACCCTTTCCCCCCCAAATATTTTATATTGTATTTCCTTTGTGTTGTGACAGATAAGTTACTTCTGGATGTGTAGCTTGTTTTGTTAATTTTTATGTGATAAATAAGCCATCTTACTTGTAGTTTGAAGAATTAGTTTTTAGCTACACCCAATAATTAACCGTTTTGGGGATTACAGCAACCTGACTTGGACTCCATTGTAATAAATTACAGGTCTTTTCGATCAGCCAAGCAGTAAGGCAAGAGTCTGTATTGTAGATGACTGCATATTTTCAGCTGGACCTAGTAGAAAGCTAGAAACCTTTGTTATGGAGGTTAGACCATTAAAACTTGAGTTTGGTATTAGAACTTATAAGGGGTACTATAATAACTCTAGTTTAGAAGGAAGTGTCTGATAAAGCTTATTTATTCATACATACATACAATTACATAGGCCACCCAATTCCCAATGACTTTGGGTGGCTTACAATTAAAAAGTAAAAAACAAAACAAGACCAAAAGACAAAAAGGGATCATGAACAACCCAAAGAAAATATATAACAGTAACAATGAAAGGTTGCTACATTGATCTTGTGGGACAACCTAGTGGTTCTGATGATCTTCCCTAGAAGCATGACCTTCCGTAATGCCATCCTTGCTGATAAGATTGAAAGTTGAATAGGGAATCTAAGAGTAATGGACTAGGGGAGTATGGGCAGATGATGCTCTGCAGGCCTGACAGAAGCCACCTAGGAGAAGGAACTCCTAACTCAAACCTGGAAGAAGTAATGGCAAATCAATTCTGTGTATTTTTTTTTAATATCCGTTCAATCGTGACCGATTCTTTGGAGACTGCCTGGACGAGTCCCTGCAGTTTTCCTGGCAAAACCAATTCTGTTGTTTAAAAAACTGTATAGATGTGGCTGCGACATTTAGCTTCTCTTAAAAACAATGAAGTAGTAAAAGGGGAGGAAGGGTTGCATTTTATATTAAATTTCCAACTCAGAAATTCAAGTACTTACAACCAGGAATTCAAAATTACATAGTTACTTTCTCCCATTGTTTCTGCTACTTCCAGGGCCTAAATTAGTCTTTACTATTTGGTTAGCATCAAGTCAAGAATAGCTGTTGTTTTTCTGTGTTTTCCTCCTCCTATAAAAGAGAGTAATTAAAAAGATAGCCAGGAACTTTCTGGAAGGCTTATGGTCGGAAAAAATTGTTTCCCAACAAATGTCAAGTAATTTCTTGACAACGAATGTCACCTTCTACTTTATATCTTTTAAAGATCTGCAGTTTGCTTTTGGAAGTCGTCATATCTTCCCCTAGGTTGGATGGACAGTAATGGATACCAAAACCATTATTGCTTTATTTGTTCTTCCACTTAATTTAACCCTAGAGCTTGCTACAGCATTGCCTAATTCATTCATTTAGATTTTTGAGCAAGAATGGATAATTTTAAAATGCAAAGCAACTTCTTCCTTTCTACTGCTTCTGTTCCTTTTGAATTCATTGTATTCAACTCTTGCATTCTGGTCATGGGATTCATTTCATCAGGTCTATTGTATCAAATAAATCATATTTTCCTGTATGTGTAAAAGCTCAGACTTACTTCTCATACACTAAACACCATTAAATTTGTGAGCCACTGATTTTTCACTGGGTTGTTTAACAGGTCCCACTATAGCAAATCTCCCATTTCTTTTTTTAGTGCATGTCCATCTGAGATCCTCATTCATGGATTTAATCTCCAGTCCCTGCAGGCTTCAGCTTAAAGTCCTAAGTAAACTTCAGCCCAGCACATTTTTATTGGTACAGATGTAGTGAAACAGTGCATCCTCTAGATTGGCAGAATGCTTTTCAGGGAACCTTAAAAAATTCCCTTTTCTCTAACTAGTTCAGCTGTGTGAACTAGTATCCTTATGCCCTCTTTAGATCTTTTATTTTTACCTTTTTTCTGAATGTTCTATCTGATAAGAATGAGAAGGTATTCATAACAAAATAATTTATGTTAAGAACACATATATAGTATTTGTGTGTGTGTGTGTGTGTGTGTTTATTATGAAGTTAAATAAATATATATGACCCTTTTTCCCCTTAAATTTATGGAGTGATCCTATACAAAGACATACAGTATTGCTATTAGTTATGAAAGCAGTAAACAGAATGTATATAATGTTATACTTTAATGAGTATGGGTCTGTAAGAATTGCTAGCTTTTGGATTAGATTTTATTAAATATTTCCTTTTTATTGCTATATGCCCGATAACTAAATTGCTACTGACACATTAACTTGTAATATCTTTATAATGTTTTGTAGCTGATCAAGCTATAAGTTAAAACAGAATTAATAATATGTGTTTATGTTGAACACCAGCAGATGTGCTGTATTTTTCTATGATGGTTTTGCAGTTTTAAGATTAGATTAAGTAGGTATTTTGTAGAAGCTGCCTGCCAAAATAATGTGCATCTCTTTCCATAAATTGATAAATACCTAAATAAGTGAAATGTTACTTGTTAATGACACATAACATAAATATAAACCATACTGGATCATTATAGCCCCATTAGCTGTTTGCTAGCAACCATTTATTAGCAAGCATTTTAGAGAGGAATATAGTAACTGTTGCATTAGTGCAGGATCATCATGTCTTGGTATTGTGCCAGTATGGCAGTATATGGCAGTATATATGGCAGTATATGGCAGTATATATGGCAGTATATGGCAGTATATATGGCAGTATAGACTTCATGGAAGATGACTACTTCTTAGCAACGTATCCTGTCATGGAATTGTCTGCAGAATAGAGATGTAATTGGACTTAAGAATGACTCTGAAGATTTTTGGCTAATGACATGCCCACTGTATTGCTGGAGTGCTAGGTACCTGATAGTTGCAATCTTTTTACAACAATTGGGGTACCTTAGTAGATAGTGTATCGTAGATATGTTCCCTCTGATTACAATGGCATGAGCCCATTTCTATGCTGCCCCAAAAAAGTGGGCTTGAGCTTTTGGGGAGCGCAGATCTACATCAGCAATAATGCTCCTATTTCAGTTTCATATACCTTCTCAAATTTCACCTGCTGTTTCATTTTCTAAAATAAGTGTTTATTTCCTTCCATATGAAGTAAGCACTTTCCAGTGTAACTACTGAATTTTTTCCAGCATAAGCGTCATTGAGTTTACTTTTCTCAGCCCTTAAAATATTACATCAGTATAAGTAGATAGTTGAGTTGGTTCGTATAGCTTTTGTTGTATAAATGAATCATACAGGATGCTCCTTAAAAATGTGCTGCTGTTGCAAGAAAAAAAATCCAATTTCTTCAAGGATTCCAACTCCATGTGTGTATATTAAAATTACGTATCAATTTTGAGTTTTTAAAATTGGGAGATTTGTGATTTGCACAAGAACAGGAAGAAAGGAGAAATCATGTTGTTCATTTTTTTGGATTCATCCAGGCTTTTAAAAAATAAACAGTGGCTACAGTCCTATATACATTTAGGATACAAGACATTTTTAATGCAGGACCTTCCTTCTCTGAGTGTATGTAATATTGCAGAGTGCTCTAGTATTTGAGTTAGGCCTGACCAAAAAAAATTACTATCCTTTGAATTACTTGTAACTGTTATTGATTACTTCATCGTTACTTTTTTCCCCTAATGTTTTTATTTTGTTTTACATAGTGACATTCTACAGACAAGTAGTCAACAAATGCCAGTCTTTCAACCAGATAGTGTACTACCAGAATGACATTGTAAAAAGCTTGAAAACCCACCTGCAAGTGAAAAACAGTCTTGCATTTCAACCCCTTTTGGAGTATGTATACGTTGTCATCTGAGATATATTTTCTACACAGAGACAAGAATGCATTTGTTTTTTATCTGTAAAGAAAAAGACAATACTGATTGTGTAGTACTAAAGGTCTTTAATTTTTTTTAATCCTAGTGATTGTTTCTGTTATTTTATTTATAACACTTTGGCTGGATTCACACAATGCATTAATCCATAATGTGACTTCTTTAATTTTGGTTTAGAGCATTAAGTAAAATCAATTAATTATGATTTCATGCAATGCGTGAAGCCAGTCTGTATGAGTCATATAATACACAGGCCCCACATCACATTTTAATGTAGAATAGCCCTCTTCAATCTGGTGTTCTCCAGATGTATTGGACATCAGCAGGTATAATCTCTGTGGATGTTTATGACCAAATGATGATGGAAGTGGGTCCAACAGATCAGGAGGGCAACCAATTGGAAAAATGTACTATAGATTATTAGATAGCATCACTGAAGCAATGAGCATGAAACTGAGCAAACTCAGGGAGGCAGTGA